CTCCTCCTCCTCCTCCTCCTCCTCCTCCTCCTCCTCCTCCTCCTCCTCCTCCCCCCTCGTGGAGCAGCCTGGCTCCCACGCTGTCCGCCGGCGTCCGTGCGCGGCGCGGCGGCCGCGCGACCCGTCCCCCCGCGGGCGCCGGATGGCCGCCGGCGCCGCCGTGGCCTGGGCGGCCGAGGCCGGCGGCGGCGGCGGGTGCTCGTGGTGATGATGATGGTGATGATGCTGGTGGTGATGATGGGTTTGGTGGTGATGATGATGCTGATGGTGGTGGTCGTGGTGATGATGATGCTGATGGTGATGGTGGTGGTTGTGATGATGATGATGGTGGTGATGGTGATGGTGGTGATGATGATGATGGTGATGGTGATGGTGATGCTGATGGTGATGGTGGTGGTTGTGGTGATGATGAAGATGATGGTGGGTGTGGTGGTTATAATGATGACGGTGATGGTGATGCTGATGGCGATGGTGATGGCGAGGATGATGATGATGGTGGGTGTGGTGTGGTAGTGATGATGATGATGATGATGATGATGATGATGATGATGATGATGATGATGATGATGATGATGATGATGATGATGATGATGATGATGATGATGATGATGATGATGATGATGATGATGGTCGGTGTGATGGTGATGATGATGGTGGTTGTGGTGGTAATAATGATGATGGTGATGATGATGATGATGATGATGATGAAGACGATGATGATGATGGTGATGGTGATGGTGATGGTGATGCTGATGTTGATCATGATGATGATGATGATGATGATGATGATGATGATGATGATGATGATGATGATGATGATGATGATGATGATGATGATGATGATGATGATGCTGGTGGTGATGGTGATAGTGATGGTGATGCCGAGGTTGCTCGTGGGGTGGGTGTATGTCGCTTCTTGGTCCTCCTGCGCCTCCCCGGGAGGCTCCGCGGCGGGGGTCGCCTCGAAAGCCCGGTCCGAACGCAGCCCAGGAGAGGTCCCGGGAACGAGCGCTGGCATGAGCATACGTGTTCGTCGGGGGCGGCAAAGAGGGGGGTGATGACTACAGTCGGGGCCCTGAAGAAGGAACCCTTTTCGTTGGGGAGGGGCTCCGTGTTCCTTAAGTGTTTCACAGCTCGCCTCAGGTTTTCCGTATGTTTTTGATCGGAAATCAAAGTTCAACTTCTGGAAAAAAAGGGCCTCGTTCCTTATTTTGGGTTCCTTAGGTCAACGCCCCGACTGTAGGGGGGGGGATTTCAGGGCGGGGGGCATGATGTTTCCCCAGATCTCATGGCGCCCCTTCTTAGCTCGTTACGTCCCTAGTCGCCCGGCTGGGCCGCGCACATGCCGCCGGCCATGATTTGCACCCCCCCCTCTTGGACACCCCCCTCTTGGCCGCCCCCGAATTCGGAGATCCGGGCGGATTTTTCGGATCGGCGCTGGAGCTCCTGGCGCGCTCCGCGCGCTGAGGGAGGGGGGGTCCAGCGCCGATTTTTGGAATTCGGCGCGGAGCTCTGGCAGTTTATGTTTCAGGAGGGGAAACACACACACAGACACAATGAATCGTCGATCCCCAGGGAAGTATAGGAAAGTATGGGAAGTGGGGAGGAAGACGAAAACCCCGAAAATATGGGAAACTATGGGGGAGTCCTGGGATCGGTGTCTACCTCTCTGTGTGTCCCTGGGCCGAGTGTTCGTGCCCCGACGCGTGCCTCGAGGATGGACGGCTGGGGGGGCAGCAGGCGCTTTGCCCTCGGGGGCTGCCGCTTCAGGGGTGGGAAGGCGGGGGGCCTGGGGGAGTTTGCCCGGCGTCCTTTGGATTCGCACAGCGGTGGAGGCCGAGTCAGGTGAGGCACTGAGGTCGCGTTCCGTCAAGGGCGGTCCAGCGAACGAGCGAAGGCCTTCCTCCCTCCCTCCCTCCTCTCCTCCTCCTCCTCCTCCTCCTCCTCCTCCTCCTCCTCGCCCAAGGAAACAACAAGAAGGGGTTCGGGGGAGGTCTCTGGCCCGAGGGCCTCCTTGAGCGGGGTGGGCCATCCTCCTGGTTGGGGTCAGGAGCCTCCCTGGCCGCCTTTCGGGAGGGGAGCGGGGATGCGGCCTCGCGGGATGGTCAGTGAGGTGGAGGAGAGGCGAGGTAATGGAAAGGAACACAGAGGGAGGAGGGGGACGAGAGCAAAGGGAGAATCAACGTGCAACTTGCCCGCTTGGAGGACTGACCAGGGCAATTTTGCCCCGTGCCCCCCCCCCCCCTTACATGAGAGTCCACAATTCCGATCGATTGTTCAAGCGTAGGTATTTTAGCTTACATACAGGATTTCGCTTGGCCAGATGCCCACCGACGATTCCGTTTTTTGTCTAAAGGCCTTTCATATTATTGTTTGTTCTGAGCTCACTGCAGGTGATTGCTGCACATCAGGCGCAGTACCGCATAGGGAGGAAGAGGGGAAGCGCTGCGACGGGAATGAGGTGGGATGGGCACAGGGCAGCTTTCACCGCGACCCCCAATTCCTCTCTGAACCCCCACCGACGGTCTTTACGAGTGTGGTCTTCCCTCGAGGCACTGTCGCAAATAGATCCCCCGCGTTGACCTGACTTGCAGTCCGTCGAGGTCTCGAGGATAGGAGGTGGAGGAGGAGGAGGACAAGCTGGAGGAGGGCCAGGTGTAGGATGAGGAGGAGGAGGAGGATGATTACCAGTGGAAGGATGAGGAGGAAGAGGAGCAGGAGGACGAGGACGAGGAGGAGGAGGAGGAGGAGGAGGAGGAGGAAGGAGGAGGAGGAGGAAGAGGAGAAAAGAGGAAGGAGGAGGAGGAGGTAGGAGGAGGAGGAGAGGGAGAGGAGGAGGAGGCGGAGGAGGAGGGAGGGGACAGGGGTCAGGAGGAGGAGCGAGGGGGAGGGAGGAGGAGGACGCGGAGGAGGAGGAGGAGGAGGAGGGAGGAGGAGGAGGAGGAGGCGGAGAGGAGGAGGAGGAGGAGGGAGGAGGAGGAGGAGGAGGAGTAGGAGGAGGAGGAGGAGGAGGAGGAGGAGGAGGAGGAGGAGGAGGAGGAGGAGCAAGAGGGGAGAGGAGGACCGGGTCTTCGCTTTGCAGTGGCCTGGCCCTCGGTGCTGCCGCCGCCGCGGCCTCTGCGAGCGCCCGACAGGCATGCAGAGGGGCTTCCCGAATTTTGCGCGCTGGGCCGAGGCTCCGTCCACGCGTCGAGGAGGAATGCCTGGGGGAAGAGGAGGATGACGGAGGGAGGTGAGGGGGAGGGTGTGTGGGCGTTTGGCGGTGGTGGTGGTGGTGGTGGTGGTGGTGGTGGTGGTGAGGAGGAGGAGGAGGAGGAGGAGGAGGAGGAGGAGGGAGGAGGAGGAGGAGGAGGAGGAGGAGGACGGAGGGTGAGGAGGAGGAGGAGGAGGAGGAGGAGGAGTGCACGCCTCCTCGTTTTCGACCTCTGTCGGCTCTCATGGGAGGCCCTCGCCCCCCCGGGGCCAGACGCGCCGCAAAATCCTGGTCAGAAAAGCGCCGGCTACGCCTCTTCTCGTTGGTCGCCTTTCGGGGCCTCTAGGATTGGCATCGATCGGACGTGTACTCCGTGTACTGTAGGTTTGCGTCGTGTCGAACAGCGGCGACCCCAGCGCGGGCGTTCAAGTGGAACGCCGCCGGGCGACCCAGAATCTATCGGATGTTTGAAAGACGAACGTGCGGCAGCGCCGATCGTTCAAGGTTGTGACGTTGAACGATCACCTGCGGTGTCAAAAAACCAACGCTGGGGTCGGCACGATACGAACCTGACGCGTGTATTTTTCCCGCGAGGACCATCGAGGAGCACTTTGGCTCATCTTCCAAAAAAGTAGACGCACGACGTCGATTGGGGAGTGGAAGTCCGAGCTGATCGTGGCGAGCAGCGAGGCCCTCGTTCGCGCGGCGGGACTCGCCCCGAGCTGCGGAACCAGAAACCGCCACGGGGAGAGGCCCCGGGAACAGGCGGAGGACGCAGACATGAGCACTCGGAGGCCCGCGCGGATTCCTCGCATCGGCGCTGGAGCCCACTCTGGGAGCTTCGAGGGCGCCGCCCTCGGAGGCCCGCCGTTCCCCACAAAGGGGTGCAGGGGGGGGGGGGCTGGGGGGGGGGGGGGGGGGGGGGGGGGCGACCGGGGCAGGGGCGCGGGCCGCCGGGGCGCGGGCCGTCGTTGTGCGGTGCCGTCGCCTGCTCTCGGGTCGGCCTCCGAGGTCAGTCTTCGGGCCTCCGAGGCTGCCCAGCGCCGACCCCCAGTACGATCGGCGGTGGATAGACCTCCCACCCTGACGCGTCGATTCAGGAATTGGCCATTCTCGGTTCGCGAGAGGGCGTCGCGGCCGTCATTTTTGCGGGCCCAGGTCCGTCGGCTTCGGTCCCAGGCCGTTTTCACGAAGGGGAGGTTTACTAAAGGGAGGTTTGTCCACCGCTGATACGAAGGCACGAGCCACACGGCGCAAGCAGTGGCAGCATCGGCAGCAACCGCACCAGCGGAGCTGGTAGAGGTCTCGGAACGCGTGGTCCTCATGAGCAGGGAAGAACCCCTCATGCTGAAACATGTTTGGGGAAAACCACCCAGGGCGTGAAGCCAGTCCCGGAGAAGTGAGTCAAGAGCACCGGACCGACGTATTGAACGAAAACAGGACGTCGGAGATCTTGGGGCAGGGAAGAGAGGTAGTTGGAGGGGAGGCGATGAGGGGGTTCAAGGGAAGGGGGGTTGGAGGGGGATGACTGTGAGGGGGATGAAGGGAATGGGGTCGGAGGGATGCTGAGTAGTTTGCACCCCACGGTAAGATCATTGGGGGCTCCAAAGTCTAAGCCATCATGGGATGGACGACTACTCGGCGGAAAAGAACCACTTGCCTGCGGCAAGTTCCGACTCCGTGCCAGTGCAGCGCTCACTCGGCATGTGGGCCATAAGTTATGCCATGACGTGAGATATGTGTATCTATTGTATGTTGCATATACGGATATCAATATGTGTATATTTGAGAGAGAAAGAGGGAGAGAGAGAGAGAGAGAGAAAGAGAGAGAGATATACAGAGACAGAGACAGAGACTGGCAGAGACAGACAGACAGACACATACATATATGTATATATATATATATAGAAAGGGAGAGAGAGACCGATAGAGAGACAGAGACAGAGAGACAGAGAGACAATAGAGGGAGAGAGAGAGAGAGAGAGACACAGAGAGAAAGAGACAGGGAGAGACAGAGCGGGAGAGTGAGAGACAGAGACGGAGACAGACAGTAAGAGGGAGTGAGGGAGGGGGGCGATACGGCTTTGCAATAACCCTTCGGGCCTGTTGGGGCTCTGTGGGCATGTCTTCGGGGCCTCTTGGGGCTCTGTGGTCATGTCTTGGCGGCCTCTGTGGGACCTCTTTGGGCGGCTTGGCGCCCTCTGGGACCCCCTCCCCTTGGGCTGTCATGGCAGCCTCGTGGGCTGTCCTGGGCCCCCTCTTGAGGTCTTCCGGAGCTCCTCTTGGAAAAGTTGTCAGGGCCTCTTGGGCCATTCGTGGGCCGTGCTGCCTTTCTCGGGGGCTCCAGATTCCATCTTGGGCAGGAAGGCCTGGGACGCAAAGGACGTGGGAACACTTTCTGGCGTTTGTGCACTGGCTCATTGGCTTACGCCGTTCTGCCGACCCCTTGGAAGCTCTGGATGTCTCTCTTCTGGGGGGCGTTGTCGTAGAAGCGTCTTGGCGCCGCGCGTCCATGTGGGAAGCCCAAGACTGCGATCAAAAGATTCCTGTTGGAACGTTTTGGGGCTCTCCGGGGCATAGGGGGCCTGTTCGGAGCCTCTTGGGCCTCTTGTTGGAATGCTGGGGGTCCTGGGGGCCATCTTGTGTGGGACGGACCTTTTGGGGCCCCTTCGAGTTCCCCCTTTGGGGTTCCTTCTGGGGCCCGGGGAGCCCGGTCCGGCCGGTTTCGAAGGGGGGTTCGCTCTCGACAGGCCCGGGGGACTCGTCTGGCCCTGGAGAGCTCCAAGGCGCGTGCCAATCGCCCAAGAGCGAGCGAGCGAGGCGTTGGTGCAAAGGCTCATGCGGCGAAGCGTGTGTGTGCCTGTGCCCCGTGGGCACAGGCGCGTGAGGCCACGCGTGCTCCATGACGGTCCGCAAGTGCTTCACGACGACGTCCCGTGTGGGCTCCCTGGGGACAGCCACCCCTCGCGCCGAGACTACCCAGAGGGTTCGGCGAGTTCTGGGCGGCCGGGGAGGAGGGACGCCCAGGGAGGGGGGGGGGGCTCGCTGCCCGCGCGGCCCGCAGGCCACCCGGAAGTCCAGCAGCGCCACGGGCTCCAGCGTCGCGGCTGCAGCTGGGGAGGCCAGGGGTGACCAGCCCTCTCCTCCTCCTCCGCCCCCCTCCCGCCTCCTCTGCTCAGCACTCGTCCGAGGAGGAAGCGGTACCCATGCCGCTGCCCTCCCCTCGTTCTCCATCTTTTGTGGCCTCCTGGGAGGCTTTCGTTGCCACCGCTGGATGCGCCTCGATCTTTCTGTCAGAACGCACCCCGGGAGGGGTCTGGGGAGTAGCGGTATCGGTACCTCTTGTCGGAAATTGGAACGTATACATTACCAGTGGCGGGCTGTGTTGTAATCCCAGAACTCTTTGAGGGTCGGGGACGACGTCGGGGTGGTGTGGTGGCACGCCATGTCGCACGGAGCGCGCCAGGGGGGGGCGCCAGAGGCGCTGCCAGGTGGGGCTCAGCTCCGATCCAGGAAATCTGCGCGGACCTCCGACACCTCATGCTGACACAATTCGTCGGTCTTCGGATCTTCGAGGCCTGGCTTTCGGGTCATGCCTCCGGCAGCCTGAGGCCGCAATTCCGCTGCGAAGGTCATGCCTACAAAAACTTGAAACCTCTATAAAAACCCATCGGTCGGAAGAAGCGGGTAGAAGCATCAACCTGTGTTGTTGGGTCCTCGTTTTGAAGAGACGGTCCCCGCGTTCCTCCTCTTCGTCCTCCTCCTCCTCCTCCTCCTCCTCCTCTCCCTCCTCCTCCTCCTCCTTCCTCTCCTCTCCTCCCTCTCCCCTCCTCCTCCCTCCTCCTCCCTCTTCCATGCGTTTACCCCACCAGTACAGGTTTCGTAGCCCCAATAGGGAGCTCCACCGAAGGCCCCAGTGGACACCGTCCACGTCGCGTCCCCACCAGTACAAGCGTTTCGTGGCCCCATACGGAGCTCCAACGAAGGCCCCAGTGCCACCGTCCACATGCGTCCCCCCCACTCAGTACAGCGCTTCGTGGCCCCAAAGGGAGCTCCACCGAAGGCCCCAGTGCCACCGTCCACATGCGCCCCCCCCCACTCAGTACAGCGCTTCGTGGCCCCATAGCGAGCTCCACCGAAGGCCCCAGCGCAACCGTCCACATGCGTCCCCACCACTCAGTACAGCGCTTCGTGGCCCCATAGGGAGCTCCACCGGAGGCCCCAATGCCACCGTCCACATGCGCCCCCCCACTCAGTACAGCGCTTCGTGGCCCCATAGGGAGCTCCACGGAAGGGGGGGGACCCCAGTGCCACCGGTCCACATGCGTCCCGCCCAGCTCAATACAGCGCTCGCATGCGCATAGGGAGCTCCACGAAAGGACCCAGTGCCACGCCACATGGCGTCCCCCCCATCAGTACAAACGTTTGTTCGTTGCCCCATAGGGAGCTTCCACCGAAAGCCCCAGTGCACCTTCAAACATGCGTCACCCCCCACTCAGTACCAGCGTTTTTCGTGGGCCCCATAGGGAGCTCAACGAAGGCCCAAGTGCACCGTCCACAGCGTCCCGCCCACCCCCCCCCCCCCCAGTGCAGCGTTTCGTGGCCCCACAGGGAGCTCCACCGAAGGCCCCAGCGCCACCGTCCACATGCGTCCCTCCACTCAGTACAGCGTTTCGTGGCCCCATAGGGAGCTCCACCGAAGGCCCCATGGCTGCCGTCCGCATGCGTCTCCCCCACTCAGTACAGCGTTTCGTGGCCCCATAGGGAGCTCCACGGAAGGTCACAGTGCTATCGTCCACATGCGTCCCCCCCACTCAGTACAGCGTTTCGTGGCCCCATAGTGAGCTCCACCGAAGTTCCCAGTGGGACCGTCCGCATGCGTCCCGGAAGCTCAATTTGGCATTTTCACCCACGCAGTACAGCGTTTCGTGGTCCCACAGGGAGCTCCACCGAAGGCCCCAATGCCACCGTCCGCATTCGTCCCGCACACCCAATGTGGCATTTTCACCCACCCAGTGCAGCGTTTCGTGGTCCCACAGGGAGCTCCACCGAAGGCCCCAGTGGGACCGTCCGCAAGCGTCCCAAAACACCCATTGTGGCATTTTCACCCACCCAGCCCAGATTTTCGTGGCCCCGTAGGGAACTCCACCGAAGGCCCCATTGCCACCGTCCGCATGCGTCCCGAAAACCCAACGTGGCATTTTTACCCACCCAATACAGCGTTTCGTGGCCCCTTAGTGAGCTCCACCGAAGCCCCCAGTGGGACCGTCCGCATGCGTCCCGGAAGCCCAATTTGGCATTTTCACCCACCCAGTACAGCGTTTCGTGGCCCCATAGGGAGTTCCACCGAAGCCTCCAGTGGGACCGTCCGCATGCGTCCCGGAAGCCCAATTTGGCGTTTTCGCTTACCCAGTGCAGCGTTTCGTGGCCCCATAGGGAGCTCCACCGAAGCCCCCAGTGGGACCGTCCGCATGCGTCCCGGAAACCTGACTTGACACACCACTCACCCAGAACAGCGTTCCCCCTCACTCACTGCAGCGCTTCGTGGCCCCATCGGGAGTTTCACCGAAGAAAGATTTTCGCAATTGCGGTACCCACAACTGCATATGGTGGGGTCCTTCGCCAGGATAATTGTCCCACTCCCCGGGGGGAAGCAGCAAAATATGTATACGCCAGGAGCCGTATACACCCGGATCCGCGTTCCCGTGCGAGTGTCCGCGCAGGGTCGGAGAAGGCGCCGGCGCACGGCGCTCGTCGCCCCGCCTCGGTCTCCCCGGCGCGGCGCCGTGCAGGGCGGCGGCGGGCCAGGGCCCGCCCCGGGGGGCCCCGCCCCGGTCGGGCCGGGCGAAAGGGGGGGATTGGGAAAGGGGGGGTTACGAAATTTGCTGCATGCAGCTGGTTTCGGCTTCACCGAGGGGCCCACTCCTCGATACGTAGCCGCCTCCGGCGCCGGGAAAATCAGCTACGTGAGCTGATTCTCAAACCCCCCCTTTGCTATCCCCCCCTTTCGCCCGACCCGACCCGGGCCCCGGGCTCTGCACAGGGGGCCCCCGGGCGGACGCGGCGGTGCCCGCGGCGGGCGTCGCGGGTCCGGGTCTGAGGGCAGCGAGCGCCCCCCTGGGCGGGTTCCCCGGGGATAGGGGGCCACGTGCGAGCCCTGCCCCGGGCCTGCCCCCCCACGATGTCTGAGGGGGAGGGTGGGGTGAGGGCTTCGCTCGGGAGCTCCCGAACGCAGTGAGCCCCACCCGCCCCCCTCAGGAATCGTGGGCGGGGGTAGGGGTATAGGGCTCGCATGCGGCCCCCCCTCTCCCCGTCATCGCTCGGGCGTGTGCACTCGTCTTCGGCGAGGGCCATCGAGGAGCATCCGGGGTCATCCTGCGGCAAGAGTCACGAAACTTGCACGGGCAGTGGACTTTCCAGCGATGGCAGAGCTCGAGTCTCCTGGTGGTCATTGCACGGGGCAGGAGGACTTCCCCCCCCTCCTCGTCCTCGTCCTCGTCCTCCTCCTCCTCCTCGTCCTCCTCCCCACGTTCGAGGTTCTCCTCCTCCTCGTCCTCCTTGTGATCCTCCTCCTCGTCCTCGTCGTCCTCCCTCCTCCTCCTCCTCCTCCTCCTCCTCCTCCTCCTCGTCTTCCTCCTCCTCCTCGTCCTCCTCCTCCTCGTCTTCTTCCTCCTCGTCCTCCTCCCCACGTTCGAGGTGCTCTTCTGCTGCGCCTCGCGAGGCCGGGGGCGCCCGGCGGCGTCCTGGGGGGCCAGGCGGGGCCCCGGGGAGACATCCGCGCGCCTCGGCGGGGCTGCCTGGAACGCCCGCTCGCCCCTCTCCAGGTGTGCAGGGGCCGTGGACAGGTTCGAGCGTATCTCGGCTTATGATCGGCAACACCCCAACATACTTATACTATGTGCGTCGCCCCCCCAGGGGCGACGCGCGCACCGAGAAATCTTATAGTATATGCGTCGTGGCGGGCGCTTTCTGGCCACACCGCTCGGGAAACGATATACTACAAGATGGGTATACTATATGTTCGGGTCGGACGCGCGCCTCCAAGGAGGACATATAATACTAGTATGTCTTTGTGCTTCCCATCTCCAGGTGTGCAGGGGCCGTGGACAGGTTCGAGCGTATCTCGGCTTATGATGCTCCAACTTACTTTAGCCTCGACCACCAGGAAGAAAATTTCGAGCGCCCCCAAACAAGTACCGACCCTCGAGGGTTTTCACGTGTCGGGCCCCGGGAGACACCCGCCCGGCACTGTTTCGACACCGTTTCGACACTCTTTTGACACTTTTTCGGGTGCTCGAAATTATTTCTGGGATGCGGTCCTTAAGTGGGATGGGAACAACATACATCTCGGCTAGGCTTTCGTGCACTTGTTCAGTCAGTCAGTCAGTCAGTCAGACAGTCAGTGGGCCGTGCAACCAGAGGACGCGCAGAAGCAGGGGTGCTTCTGAGAGGCCTTCTCTCTCCTCTCCCTACCGCCTGTGCGCGCCGTAGAGAAGAGCCAAGATGGTCAGTCACTTGGCGCTGAAGGACGTGGTCTAGAAGGTGCGACCAGCTTCCCTCGGCCAGGGTTCCCAGGAGACTGCGAAGGGGTCATCAGGGGAGCTGCACCAGGGGAAAAATGATGTGCCTCGTTAGCCGCTGCTTCCCCTGCAAGCGGAGAGGCCAAGAGGACCACAGGGTCGGACGCTCGAGGAGTGATCAGGGCAACCGCTGGGCAGGGATCCGGACGAACCGAAGCGCAGGGTGCGCTCCAATTTGGGCGAAAAGAGTGGTCGGACCGATGCCACAACGAGAACGCGACGACGATCAGGATGGCCATGTCGTAGCACCCTTGATCGGATCCGAAGGCAGGCGCACCGCTGCGCCATGGGGTCGCGACGGCGCGCAGAATAATAGACAGGGACGACACGACGTCGACTCTACTACCGAGGACGAGGACCTGTTCGCCATTAAGGCAGGAGGCAGGGGGCTTCTCAGACCCGGCCCAGCCCGACTGCAGAAGGACGGGTCGAAGATGATCGACGGACGACTGTCTCCTAGAACCTCTACTGTTTGTAGCGCCTCGAGACGGGAGGGATCCGCGGATCCTCAGCAACGGCTGGCCTAGGCGCTCGATGCGGGACCTTGCGGGCGATATGAAGCGCTCGGGACGATACCGACGAAATGCGAGTATGATCTCAGGGGCGTCCAGGACGTAGAGGGGAGCACAAGGTGTTCCCACGGTAATCGATTTCCTTTCGGGTTCACGCGCATGGAGACATCCCCAAGGTATCCACAGTGAAAGGGAAAACTTGAATCCGCACTAAATCTGGATTGGAGGCCGCCATCTACTTGCACACTCCGACGTGGTCGGCGGATTTGTGCCTCATCTGTGATGCGCTTCTCTGGGCGCCCAGCGTGCGCCCGAGTGCAGCGTGGGAGTGTATGTCGTCGCAACGTGAGGCACGTGTGAGGTAGCCTTGCAAACACACACGCTATCCCTGCGTCTGCCTCTAATCGGCGGCGGGCGCGGGGGGGAAATGAGAAGGGGCGGGACTTCCGAGGCTTCTGAGAAGTTTCTGGACTTCTGAGAGGGCTTCTGAGAAGTTCTGCCTGTATTCGAAATAGGCCAAGGAAACGTCTCAGAATCCCCCCGGACTTCTAAGAAGTCCCGCGGCCTTCTGAGAAGGCCTTCTCCTTCTCATTTCCCCCCTGGGCTCGTCGCCTAAACACATGCTATCCCTGCGTCTGCCTCTCAGCGCATCGGCATCCCTCCGCCTCCCTGCTCTCCCTCCGCCCGCAGGAGACCACCGGCTCCCCTGTGAGGGGCGAGCGTGCCGCTGGGTCCGGCGGCTCTGCAGGCTCTTCGGGGGAGGAGGAGGAGGAGCAGAGGTGCGGGCCGAACGAAAGGGGGGGATCGGGAAGGGGGGGGTTACGAAATCTGCTGCGTGCAGCTGGTTTCGGCCCCGCCGCCGGGCCCACCCCTCGATACATAGGCGCCTCCCGGCGCCGGGAGGCGCCGGGAAAATCATCTGCGTGAGCTGATTCTCCCCCCCCCCCCTCTTTTGCTATCCCCCCCTTTTCGCCTGGCCCGAGCGGTGTAGCCCGATGACGATGGTGGAAGGTGAAGCTGGAGGAAAACAGGGGGGCGGCGAGGTCCAGAGAGACGGCCGGGTGGAGTGGAAAGCGGGAAAGGTTGAGGAAATTGGCGCAGAGCAGGAGAAAAGGGAGGAGCAGGATGGGGAGGAACAGGAGGAGTAGGAGGAAACGGGAGGCGGAGGAAAGGGAGGAGGAAGAGGAAGGGTTATGAGGTGAAGGAGGAGGACAGTCAGGGAGCAGACGATGATACAGTGGATGATGACGATATTGCTGACGATGGTGATGACGATTGTAATGATGATAGCGATGCCTCTGATGCTGATGGCACGTCTGCTCATGATGTTTATGGTGATGGTAATGATCATGGTGACGACGCTTAAATCATGATGATTATGGTGGCGAAGATGCTGATGATGATCGGATGATGACTATGATGATGACTATGGTGACTATTCTGATGGTGACGATGCTGAGGATGATGATGCTGACGACGAATATGATGCCGACGATGATGATGCTGTTGCTATGACAGCTGCTGCTGATGATGCTGAGGATTATGATGACGATGATGATGCTGATGATGATTGTGGTGATGATGATAGCGATGATGATGCTGATGCTGATGCTGATGATGATGATCCTGATCCTTGCTATGTTGATGATGATGAACATGCCAGTACCGACGACACCGATTAACGTGATGTCGGCGGTGGTGGTGATGGTGACGATGGTGATGGCGATGCTGTTTTCAATTGATGATGATGATGATGGTGATGATGGTGATGATGGTGATGGTGATGATGATGATGTTGATGCCGATGATGAGGATGATGCTGACAATGATGATGATGATGATGATGATGATGATGATGATGATGATGATGATGATGATGATGATGCTGACGATGCTGATTATGCTGCTGCTGCTGATGATGATGATGATGATCGTGGTGCTGGTCATGCTAGTGCTGGTAATGCTAGTGTTACTGCCGATAAGGACGATGACGATGATGACGATGATGGTGATGGTGGTGGTGCTGATGATGCTGATGATGCTGATGATCATGATCATGCTCTTGATGATGATGTTGATCATGCTGCCGATGATGATGATGATGATGATGATGATGATGATGATGATGATGATGATGATGATGATGATGATGATGATGATGATGATGATGATGATGATGCTGATAACGATTGTAATTGTGATTGGGACGATGATTATGATGCTGTGATTGATGATGCTGCTGCTGATGCTGCTGCTTATGATGATGATGATGATGATGATGATGATGATGATGATGATGATGATGATGATGATGCTGATGCTGATGCTGATGCTGATGCTGATGGTGGTGGTGATAGTGGTGGTGTGGTTGTGGTGGCGGTGATGATGATGCTGATTCTGGCTATGCTTACGATGATGATCACGCCGATGCCGACGACACTGATGAACGTGATGTCGGCGGTGGTGGTGATGGTGACGATGGTGATGGCGATGCTGTTTTTGATTGATGATGCTGCTGCTGCTGATTATGATGAGGATGAGGATGAGGATGAGGATGAGGATGAGGATGAGGACGAGGATTATGCTGGCGTTCATGGGGCGCGGGAGGCGGAAGGGGAGGGTGCGAAAAGGTCAGCGATGGTAGATGTTGATGAGAGGGGTGGGGAGGTGGTGCAGGATTGGCAAGGGTCAAGGGCGTTCAACACGCCCCTACCCTGGTTTACGAGGCGCTGTGCGCTGAACCTCCTGTATGCTGACAGGGTAAACCCTGCGTATCGCGCGTGTCGCGCGGCGTCCTGGCGGCGCTCTAGCCTCTGGGAGCTCTCAGGAGGTTTACGGACCGCGCGCTGGTAACCCGGGGTCGGGGCGTTGTTTGCCTCCCTCAGAAGGGAGGGAGTGGGAGGGGCGCGAGAGGGGAGGCGGCAGCGGGAGAGAGAGAGAGAGAGAGAGAGCGAGAGAGAGAGAGAGCGAGAGAGAGAGAGCGAGAGAGAGAGAGAGAGAGAGAAAGAGACGGACCCAGACGCCCGACATAATGATTTTTTCATTACGTCGACCCCCAGAGGTCCCGACCCTTTCCCCATGACCGGCTTTGCATCCTGAGTCGTTTTTTTGACGCTCCCGAGGCCCGGTGAGGGCCCCCGGAGGCCGAAAACTAGGAAAAACCTCCCGTCATGATTTTTTCATTACTCGAGGGGGTCTGGGGAGGAAGGTGACGGCAGAGGTGGGGTCGAGCCGCCGTGGAGGGAGGGCTTAGCCTCCTCCCGTGCCCAGGCTCTGCGTGGGCCGAGCACTGCGGGGCCGCCGCGGCGGGCTGGCGCGGCGCGGCCGGGGCCGGCGAGGACTGGAGGAGACTGCCGTGCCCCCCCATCCTTCTCCTCCTCCTCCTCCTCCTCCTCCTCCTCCTCCTCCTCCTCCTCCCTCTCCTCCCCCTCCTCCTCCTCCTACTCCTCCTCCTACTCCTCCCCTCCCCCTCCTCCCCCCTCCTCCTCCTCCCTCCCCTCCTCGTCCTCCTCCTCCTCCTCCCCCGCCTCCTCCTCCTCCTCCTCCTCTCCTCCCTCCTCCTCGTCCTCCTCCTCCTCCTCCTCCTCCTCCTCCTCCTGGCAGGACGCCAGGAATTCTCGCAGGCCTAGAAGTTGACACCGACACCAAGATCGGCGGTGCGCCTCCGCCGAGGGAAGAGGATCCCGATCTCGGAGATGGTGGTCATATTCTGGCTTCCAAGGCGGCCGAAATATTGCCACCAACACCGAAATCTAGGATCATCTGCCCCCTGTGGAGGCAACCCCCTGGGCTGGTGTTGGTGCCAATTTCAAGGCCTCCAAAGGAAGGGGGGCGGACGACGTCAAGCCTCGCAGCGGGCCATCTTGGAGCCATCTTGGGACGTTTTGGTGGCCTCCTGGCCCGCCTGACGCCGCCGGGAGCCGTTTGGAGGGCCCCTCTGGGCCGACCTGGGGTGCTCCAGGGCCGTCTTGGAGGCCATCCTTGGCGTCTTGGAGGCCTCTTGGGCCGTCTTGGGGCACTCTTGGGGGCCTCTTGGGCCATTCTGGGGCCACCTTGGAGGCCGACTGGGCGATCTTGGGGCGATCTTGGGTGGCTCGTGGGCTGTCTCGGGCCGCGGGAAGGCCGAAAAGGTCGGGCCAGGTCGACGGCGGGGCGGTTTTGGGGGCGAGTTTGTCGGGCGGGGAGGCTTAAGAACAGAGCTCCCACGCCGGGTGGGGGGGCGGGGTATCGGACCAGGTCGGGCAAGGTCGATGGCAGAGCTGTTTTTTGGCGCGACAGTGTTGCGCGTGGGAGCTTGAGAACAGAGGTCCCAGGCCGGGCGCGTGAAGGTTGTGGACCAGGTCGCAAAGGGTCGACGGCGGGGCGGCGTTGGGCGCGAAATTGTCGGGTGGGGGGGGGCTTTGTACCAGAGCTCCCAGGCCGGGTGGGGGGCGGGGGGGCGGCAGACCAGATCACCTGGTCGACATCGGGGCGGTTTTGGACGCGAAATTGTTGGGCGGGTGGGCCGAAGAGCAGAATTTTCGGGCCGGGCAGGGAGTGAGGGAGTGACGGCGGGGCGGTCTCGGGCGGGGAGAACTGTCGGGTGGGGGCGCTGGAGACCTGAGCTGTGGGGGGGGGGGGAGTGGCGGATCAGGTCGACACGGTCGACAGCGGGCCGCTTGAGGGAGGAGGAGGAATGGATGAGGAGGAGGGAGGAGGAGAGGAGGAGGAGGAGGAGGAGGAGGGAGGAGGAGGAGGAGGAGGGGGAGGAGGTGGAGGAGGGAGGAGGAGGCGGAGGAGGGAGGAGGAGGAGGAGGAGGAGGAGGAGGGAGGAGAGGAGGAGGAGGAGGGAGGAGGAGGAGGAGGAGGGGAGGAGGAGGAGGAGGAGGGAGGAGGAGGAGGAGGAGAGGATGGAGGAGGAGGAGGAGGATGAGGAGGAGGAGGAGGAGCGCGCATGTGTGGAGGTGGGGGGCCGAAGAAGGAGCTCCCGGGCCAGCGAGGGGGGGAGGGGGGGCGGACCGGCCCAGGCCAGGTCGACGGCGGGGCGGGCTTGGGCGCGAAGTGGTCCGGGCGGGGGCGGTTCAGAACGTCGGAGGGCACCAACTTCACCACCTACCAAACCACCCCAACCCAACCCGAAGGCCCAAATTTATCCTCGATTTCCAGTGGGGGGGAGTCGGGGAACATCGAACAAACACATGGGATCCGTACCCCCCCCCAACCCGAAATTCGGGTCGAATTCGGGCCTTCGGGTTGGGTTGGGGTGGTCTGGTAGGTAGTCACAACTATACACCAACACCGATCCTGGCCAGGATCACCCTGGGCCCAGGATCGGTGTATGTGCCTTCTTGCGCAAGGCAGGAGGGCGTATGCACCGATCCTGGGCCCAGGGTGATCCTGGCCAGGATCGGTGTTGGTGTATAGTGGGTGCCTTCCTAGAACGGGGCTTCCGAGGGGGAGGGGCGGACCAGGTCGGGCCAGGTCGACGGCGGAGCGGTTTGGGGCGCGCGCTGGTAGCGTGGGGGGGCCGAAGAACGGAGCTCCCGGGCCGGGGGGTGGGGGGGTGGGGGGGGCGACCAGGTCGGATCAGGTCGACGGCGGGGCGGTTTTGGGCGACATGGTCTGGCGGTGGAGCTTGAAAACGGAGCTCCCAGGCTGGGTGCGTGGAGGTGTCGGACCAGGTCGCACCAGGTCGACGGCGGAGCGGCTTTGTGCGCGCATGTCGGGTGGGGAGAGCGACAGAGCTCCCAGGCCGGGTGGGAAGGGGGGGGATGGCGGACCAGGTCGGACCAGGTCGCGGCGGAGTGATGGGCGCGAAATTGCCGGGTGGGGAGGGGCATAAGAAAAGAGCTCCCAGGCCAGGTTGGAGGGGAGGGTGGCGGAACAGGTCGGACCAGGTCGACGGCAGTGCGGTTTGGGGCGCGACATTGTCGGGCGGGGACGGCTCTTCCAGGCCGGGTGGGGGGGTGGCGGGTTGGGGGGGGGTGGCGTACCAGGTCGGGCCAGGTCGGCGGGGCGGTTTTGGACGCGAAGTTGTCGGGTGGGGGGGCTGAAAAATATTGCTAGGGTCGGACCTGGTGCCTGGTGGGGGCCTGGTTGGGGGTCAGGGTCGGTTGAGACCATTTCTGTATTGCTTGGGGCATGACGGGCGTCATGACCCCTCCCCCCCCCCTTACGACGTAACGCTCCTGCCCTCAGTGCGCTCCGGGCGCTGCCGCCGTGCGCAATGGGTTCCGCGTATATGTCCGCGTAGGAATCCGCATAGGAGTCTGGTCCGCAGTCGTCGTCGTCGTCGTCGTCGTCGACGTCGTCGTCGTCGTCGTCGTCGTCGTCGTCGCTTGTGGCTCGTGGCTCGTGGCTCGTCGCTCGTCGCTCATCGTCGTCGTGCGCGCGGACGCGGCTGGAGCCTGTTTTTCTATTCCGGGCCGATGACGGCAATCATCTGGGGGAGGTGAAAGGGGTCGATGACGTCACGGTTCGCGCCGGCGGCGCGTGGGAATGCCTAGGAATGGCGAAGGACGGGTGGCACCAGCATGTAGGTGGCGATCTGCACCACAACGCCTGTGTACACCTCAGTGCCTGCGTGCACCACAGCGCCTGTGTACACCACACCGCCTATGTACACCACAGCAGCCGCGTGCAACACAGCGTCAGTTTGTGCCACCGCGCGCGCGGGCACAACAGCCCTTGTGTACACCAAAGCGCCTGCGTGCACCACATCAGCCGTGTGCAACACAGCAGTGTACACCACAATGCCTGCGTGCATTGCAGTGCCTGTGTACACCACGGCGCTTGTGTGCACCACAGCAACCGTGTGCAACACAGCACCATTGTTGTATGTAGAATGTTAGAAGGAATCGTTATGACAAAATGGAGCGTTTGTGGAATCCACCGAAAACACAAGCCAATCATCTTTATGGGCAAGGGAGCGCGAGGGGAATCTACGAGTCCTTCCGAGTTCGCCCGCATCACCATAATTCGTCGCGTCTGCGTCCAGGAGGCTCCAGCTAAATTGGCCGTCCGAAAACCAAGTGGGCCAATTCAATACACCATTCTGCGGTGCACACAGAGTTGCGCACGTGCGCTGTAGCGCCAACCCGCACGACAGGGGGTAAGGAGGAGGAGGAGGAGGAGGAGGAGGAGGAGGAGGAGGAGGAGGAGGAGGAGGAGGAGGAGGAGGAGGAAAACAAAAAGGAAGAGGAGGATGAGGTGGAAGTGGAGGAGAGGGGACGAGGGAAAAATGTCGCAATCGATTATCAACATTTTCCTGTCGTGGCGCTCCCGCAGCAGATCTTCACGTACAGGCTCTTTCTACCTGTCCTATGTACGCAGGCACTGAGGTGTACAATAGCGTTGCGTTGCACGCGGATGCTGTTTTGTAGACAGGCGCTGTGGCGTGCACAGGCGCCGCGGTGTACGCAAGCATTGTGGTGTACACAGGCGCTGTGTTGCACATGGTTGCCTTCGGTGTGCGCATGTACACCGGCGCTGTAGTGTACGCAAGCACTGCAATGTACACAGGCGCTGCGTTGCACACGGTTGTTGCTATGTACGCAGGAGCTGTGGTGTACACGCGCGCTGTGGTGCACGCGAGCGTTGTGGTGTACACAGGCGCAGGGGGCCAGATCGCCACCTACATTCTGCTCGCGTCGTCGTCGTCGTCGTCGTCGTCGCTTCTCGCTCGTCGCGTCGTGCGCGCGGGCGCGGCTGTGGTGCGGGAGCCACACGGCGGGGGGGCGGGCGTTACGTCGAACCCCCCCCCCATGACGCCCGTCATCGCCGAACAGCAAAAAACGTTCTCGTTCTGAGCGCGGCATTGTCGAGTGGGAGATCCCAAGCACAGAGCTCCCATAACTATGCTTGGGGTTCGGACCCGGTGGGGACCTGGCGGCGACTTGATAAAAAGGGGGTCAGGGTCGGTTCCGGGCGCGGAACTGTTGTCGGGTGGAGGGTCCCAAGAACAAAGCTCCCAGAACCGCCTTGGGGGGAGACCTGGTGGGGACCTGTTAAAGTCAGGATCGGTTCCAGGCGCGGAATTGAGATCGTTTTTTTTGTGTTTTGTTTTTGCCTCTGGCGGGTAACGCTTGTTACCGGCCCCCCCCCGTTAGGTAGCGCTAGCGATCGTAGGTTTTTTTTTGGGTGGAGGGCGGACCCCTCTCCTTTCAGCAGGTATGGCGCTATGCTCACACGCATGGCGTGGTGCTGAAAGGCATATGTGGTGCTCACAAACGTGTTGTGGCCTTCGCACGCTCCCCACCTGTTGCGGTGCCGAATTTGCACGCATGGTGTGGTGTTAAAATGCAGGTTCCGGTGCTCAGCTGCCTGTTGTGATGTCTGCAGGCTATTGCAGCGTGCAGACTAGTGTGGTTTACGTCTACATCCCTATGTTCTCTTCCCCTGCTCTTCCTACCCGTGGAACTCTGGAAGCAATGCTGCCAAGGGATTTCGCAGCCATGTTTGGGTGGAACAAGGGTTATCCCGTGTTTGTTACCACTTGCGCTGACGAAGGCGAAACGACGTCGAACAACGCCACGAGTGCAGTTGATCTATGGCATAACATAATTCTACCCCGTCCCGCATGCTCCACCGCCTACTCGTATCCTCCCCCTTCTTCGTCGTCCTCTGCGTCTCCTCCTCCTCCTCTCCTTCCTCTGCCCTTCTCCGGCGAGCCCCGCAATGCGGCGGGGGAAGAGGAGGAGGGGGAGGGGGAGGAGGACGAGACGCAGGAGGAGCAAAAAGAGGAGACAATTTGGTGCACACAGGCGCTGTCGCGCACACGATTGTTGCACAGTTCAAAAACATTTGCGGTGCATACGAACGGCGTGGTGGGAGCTTCGCGGTCTCTGGTGGGCCCCGCAAAAAGGCTTCGCGAGCTAATGATGTGCCCGTTGGCACGTTTTGTTGCAGACAGGCGTTGTGGTGCACGGAAGCATTGTGGCGTGCGCAGGCGCTGTGGTGCACATGGTTGTTGTGGTGCACGCAGGCGCTGCGGTGCACACGAGTGCTATGGTGCATGTAGGCAGCGTGGTGTACACGAGCGTTGTTGCGCACACGGTTGCATCATACCTTGATGTTGCGGCGTACATGGGCGACGTGGTGGCGTTGTGCACGCAGGTGTTGTGGTGTACCGAAGCATTGTGGTGCACTCAGGCGGCGTTGTCTTGCACGAATTCATTTGGCATTGTCGCGCGCGCAGGAATTGCAGCGCGCGTGGGCACTTGATGTGCCGATGGCGCGGGCGCAACTTGGCGGGCGCACGCCGCGGCCGCCGTTACTGTTACCCGCCCCCCACCCCCCCGCGGCAACAGCCGTTACGCAAAGTAATAATAAATAGCAGTGTGTTGTCGGGTGGGGGGTCCCAAGACCAGAGCTCCCAGAACCGTGTTGGGGTCGGCCTTGGCGTGGACATGGTGGGAACCGGGTGGGGGGTCAGGGCCAGCTTGGCGCGGAATTGTCGGGTGGGGGGTCCCAAGAACAGGGCTCCCAGAACCGTGCTGGGGTCGGACCTGGTAGGGACCTGGTGGGGGCCTGGTTGGGGGTCAGGGTCGGTTCCGGGCGCAGAATTGTCGGGTGGGAGGTCCCAAGAATTGAGCTAGAACCGTGCTGGGGTCGGACTTGATGGGAGCGGACCTGGTAGGGGGTCAGGGTCGGTGCCGGCTGGGAAGTACGCCAGGCCCAAAAATCAGGGGAACAAGCGCGAGGGTCGTCCGCACACGCTTTCTGGGGTCGGCGGATTTGTTGCTGTGGGTCCAGATTGTCTGCCCCCTCGAGCTTGTCGGCGGCGAGCCCGGGGGGGAAAGACAGAGGGGACGGGCCTTCTCAGATGGCTCGGAAGTCACTCGGCCTCCTGCGGAGTCTTCTAGGCCTTCCCCGCGCACGCTACAGACAACTCTCAGGAGGCCCTGAGGCCTTCTGAGAAGCCAGGCCGCCTTCCGAGAAGGCCCCCTTCCTCCTCGCTCTCCCCCCTCCTCCTCCTCCTCCTCCTCCCCCTCCTCTCCTCCTCCTCCACCTCCTCCTCCTCCTCCTCCTCCTCCTCCTCCTCTCCACCTCCCCCCCCCCTCCTCTCCTCCCTCCTCCTCCTCCTCCTCCCCCTCCTTCCTCCTCCCCTCCTCCTCCTCCTCCTCTCCTCCTCCTCCTCCTCCTCCCCCTCCTCCTCCCCCTCCTCTCCTCCTCCTCCCTCCTCCTCCTCCTCCTCCTCTCCTCCTCCTCCTCCTCCTCCTCCTCCTCCTCCTCCTCCTCCTCCTCCTCCTCCTCCTCCTCCTCCCTCCCCCTCCCCCTCCCCTCCTCCTCCTCGCTCCCCCCCCCCCTCGCTCGCCGCCGAGCTGCGCGGTGCAAGCTCTGCAGTGCAGCAGCGCGTGTGGTGCGGCGCCCGCGGGCGGCCGACCCACGGGGCGCCCCCCCGGGCGCCCGCCCGGGCGGCCGCGGGCGGGCCGCGGCGAAGCCCCCCCCCCCCCCGGGGGGCCCACGAGGCACCCGCGGCTTGGCATCGCTCGGACGTGTGCATTTTTTTTTTTTTTTTTTTTTGTTTTGTGTTTTTTGTCCATGTTGATTGCCTGTCCCTCCTCCTCCTCCTCCTCTTTGCCAGCCGGTTGATTCAGTATTCTTGTGCGTCCGTAATCGCAGAAACGTCCCTCGACCCAGGCACAGGCCCCCGGGGTCGCTATGAGCGATGGTCTGGTAC